TTGGAATGTCATAATCAGACAAATTTATTTGGATGAGTTTAATCAGATAAGTTTTAATCGAATGAACTTAATTAGGTGGATTTAATCGAATGAGCTTAATCAGGTGAATTTAGTCGGAGGACTGTAATCGGATGGATTTAGTCGGATAAATTGAATCATATTAAGTTATTCATAGGAATTTAAGCAGATGAACTTAGTTGGACGAATTTAATCAGACAGATTTATCTAGACGAATTTACTTGGAGGAACTTAATCAGATAAATTTAATTAAATGAATTTATTCGGTTGGGTTTAATCAGATGATTTATTTGGAGATTTTAATCGGAGAATTTTGATTGGAGAAATAAATTGAATTTATTCATTTGAGTTCTATTTTTTATTACAAGGTACAAAGATAATTACAATTACAAAGTTATTCCTAATCCCTAAAAAGTCCTAATTTTTCTAAGATGGTCTTCGTGCCGACTCTTCAGCTTTCAACTTTTTTCCGAAACCTGCAAAGAAAACCGACAACATGGAAAATAATGGTTAAACAGTTAGAATCGATAAAATTTGGTTGTTTACTAATTGTTCCGATACCCTCAGTAAAAAGTCATCATCGGGTATGTCGGGAGAGCAACAACGACGTGGTCGTCGCCAGCTCCCGACTTTTCAATTCCGACCTCGGCACGGACCTGGCAGATTTCTATTCCAAATTAGTCCAGGAAGAGAAAAAGTAATTTTGAAAAAAGTGATTTTGGAAAAAGCACTTATTCCCAAAAAATGATTTTTTTTTGCCAAACAGGTCACAAACAATAAAAGGGGTCACAAGAGCATCAGAAAAGAGGATAGAAGAACATCTTCAGTTCATAATCAAGAACAAGGAGGCAACGAAAACCCAGAATAATAAGAGGAGAACGAAGCAAATCACCCATTTTTATGTTGTTTTTTTCCAGTGAAGTGGAAAGAAGAAGAAGATGCAAGAACACCCATGAAAGAGGGCGCCGCTCGCGGTCAAAGAAGAAGAAAAAGCCAACGAAACCCATGGAAGAGCCGTCACGGACACGAAAGAGGAAGAGGGTCAAAAACCCTAGTACTTTGTTCAGTAACACCAACTCATCCACCTTCCCCTTTTATTTCGTATCATATTAGTTTCACATTTTTTTTCTCTTTTTTCTTTTTTAGTCAACTAAATCATTAAACTTTGCACATGTAAATTATAATTACATCCTAAAATATAAAAAAAAATTATTTTAAAAAAAAAAAAACCATAGTCAAAACAAAAACTTAACTTTTTCAAAGAATTGAATTAATTTTTTTCAAAAAAAGACATTTTATAAGACTTAATTAAAAACTCAGTTTTTAAAACTAAAAAAAACTTGAATTTTTTAAAAACCATTTCACATTAAAACCCCTTCTTGGTAAAATTTATTGAACAAAATTCAAATTAAAATTAATTTTTTTTAACATAAAAATTAAAACCATTTTTTAACAAAAAAACTTAAAATTAGACTTAATTAAATTTAATTTAACTTTATAAGTTAAAATTAATATTTTAGTTATAGTTGCTAACTTTCTTTTAAAACTAATTTCATTTTAAATAAATTGACATTAAAAATTTTAATAACAAATATTTTTCTAAAGACATTTAATTTTAACTTTTTCTTAAAGTATGTTTAACCAGAGTTTCAAGCATTTTCAATTTCTGTTTTAAATTGAACTGTCGACTAAATTGCAGAGTTGCCCCGTTAATTCTGTCTAACGTTTATGTCGTTCTTTTCATTTTTCTCCGTTGTACAGTTTATGGACCCTTTACTTTCCGCATTTCATTTTTTTAGGTTGTAATTTATGTGAGGCAATCGTCGTCGTTGTTTTCAATTCCATTACTCTTCCTACATGCTTTCCCATATTTCAATATTGCCGTCTAATTAATTTGTCATTTGCATTATTTACCGTAATTCCCTTCCGAAAGAACAGGTCTAGCCGTTTGACCGCCGCGTCATTAGTTCTTACCTTTGACCATTTCACCTTTCAACCCTAATTGCATAGGAGTCCCGCCGTGGACAAGTTTACCCTTTACCCTAGCATTAGGATAAGGAATCTCTGTACTCCATATTAGGTTTCGCGCTGCGGAATACCTATTTCACCCTTTTCAATTCAAGTTTCAACCTAGAAATGGGAGTCGCCACACTCCATGTAAGCACTTCCTTAAGAACGTTTGCATCCTTATTGAAACCTTGACCACCGTCAAGAAGTTTCTCTTCCTCCCTTTCGAGGGGAACTACGATTACTCTGATTTCATCCCCTACCTCGGATACGTAGGCACAAGATGCGAGTCTTGGTGAGTAAACTTAGGACTAACCCTTAGGTCTCTCTGTCACCTCCTAACCCTTAGCATATACCCTCAAACAGATAACTAAAGCAAAAAATAGCAAACATTAAACAAAAGGTTCCTGTAGAGTGCTATAGAAGTTTAGGGTGCTAATACCTTCCCTAGGCTTAACCAACCCCTTACCTAGATCTCTCCCAGCATTGTGTTTACGATGCAAAATTAGGTTTTTCCTTTCTTTGACCTTTCCTTCAGATAAATTAAAGACCGGTTGTGAATCAAAAGATTTGTGATTCAAATTAATTAATAATTTGATATCCTATTCTCATCGCAACAGATAGACTAAAAATATTTGGAGTTGAAAATTTTGATTGGATTTGCATTGAAACAAAGATTTAATTTGATATGCATTGAAGATAGATTTGATTCAGCTTTATACATGATTGTGATGAAGATTTAATTAAACAAATACTTTATGAAGAGGTTTAATGTGATTTATTTTAATTACAAAATATAAATTTACACTTAATGAGAAGATCCAAGATTTAGAAGTGTGGTTTAGTTTTAACAAGAAATTTATTCTGAATAATTTATTTGAGATGTTTAGAATTTTGAGTGATATCAAGTAAAGATTTTATTTGAGTTTTTCAAGATTTTGAATTATATCACGAGAACAAATGTTGAACCAGATATTCCAGCATGTGTGCAACATCTAACCTTTGATAGCAGAACATGATTGTTGTTATTCTGAGCGTAATTTATGGATGTTTGTAACGTGGTTGGTTGTTACCTTTTAGCAATGTGTTATTTGAATTTTTTTGCTAAAGATTGAATGAGATCAATTCATTTTAATTGGAGATTTAAATTTGAATTTGGATAAAAACAAATCAAATAGCTTTGGAGATTTTTGTAAAATAAAATAAAAAAATCAAAATCAAATCCTCTACAAACCTAGATGTGATCAAATATTTTATTTATTGGAGAAAAGTCCAGACATTACATTTATATTTAAGGAGACTCAAATCTTTCTTGAAAGTGTGTGCAAGTATTGAAGACTCTCTTTGTTAAGGTTTATCTTTTGAGTCTTTGTTTGTGTTATTTTGTGCACAACTATAGCTCTTTCATTCATATCTTAAAGTATAAAGTTTGGTTTGTTTAGTAATGTTGTAATTCAACAAACGTTATTTTGATTAATGTAGTTTATCACTTGGAATTAGTGATTAGAAAAAAGTGAGAGGAGTTTCCATATTTATTAAATAAAAAGTCATTAGGATTAAGAAAAAGTATTGAATATATTTGAACAACATGGAGATATTGTTTCTATAAGACTAAATGTACTAATTCGAAATAGTGAATTTCTTTTCTTTAATAAAGTGTCATTAAAACATATGTGTAATTTCATCAAACTAATTTACCAATTCTTATGTTATCTATTGGTTTAATTATTATTTATTATGTCTTGCAAATTGTGTTTTTATACAATATAAGATAATTGAATGCAAGAGATGAATACATGTCGTATAACAATTAATGAGAGAAGTTAAAAATTTAAAACGAAAGCTTAAAAAGAATGAGTAATGTTAACTTAATTGTGTTCTAGAGGCACAAGTTAAGAACTAAATATAATAATAATGTTTTAAAAATTATTCACTATTTTTAATAAAAAATTTAATTTTAATTTTTTATTAATATTTTTAAAATAAACTTTTTATAAATATATTTCTTAACTTATGCTTCAAGAGTACAAGTTATCATTACCAAAAAAAAAATATTTGAAATGTCATATAACAGTTAATGAGAAAAAAGTTAAAATTAAAAAAAAAATCCTAAAAAAATATAATTTTAAGAAAAAATAATTCCAGCTAAAATTTATATATTCTTATAAATGATTAAATCCACAAAATTTCATAAATCGTAACCATGAAATTATTTGCTTATGTTTTTTTTTCTTTAGTGTATCATATTTTAGTTTAAAAAAAAAAGGAGAGGAATTTGAATTTTATTTCAAATTCAAAATAAAAACACTGTATGACTCTTTATTTTAAGAAAAATGTGACAAGTATAAATTAATTTTATACTATTAATCAATAACGATAATTTATCATGTCATATTGTCATATTAGGCTTAAATTTTTTTTAAAATTAATGACAAGACACATTGTTGGTTTTTTATTGAAGGATAGTGTAAAATTAATAAATATCTATTAAATTTTTATTTTAAAGAGATTAATTACTATACATTGTCAATATAAAAAGTTTTACACCATTAATTCATCATCATCCAATTGCATTACTTTATGAGTAGTTAAAATAAAAGTTAAACTCTTTCAAATATCCAACGACTATGATTAAGTGATTGTGTAAAAAATATTTATATTTCAATTAAATTATATTTTAAATTTCAAAATAAAATCATCTAATAAATTTAATACCACTAAGCCAAACAAATGACATTAGATTATTTTTATTTGAAGTTAATTTATTATTTATATGAATCATGCTTAAAGATAGAATTATATACTAACTTCATCCAACATTAGAAAGTAAACAAGTCCACATATTCCCAGTTAAAAACATGTGCACAATCACAAACATTAATAATCCACTTGTAAGTCTACAAACCATAACCTAGCAGCATAGTAGTTTTAATTTTTCAAACCATAAAAGCCAAAACAAACATCATAAACCAAAATCATATATGTTCAAGAAAAATCCAACCATCATCACCATCACCATCGTCGTCATCTTCAAAATACAAATCGTTAGATGCTTGCTCCATGTTGTCATCACCTTCAATTTTTTTCATTATTTTTTCAACGGTCTCATCGTCAATTCCATCTACATATCATAATTGAAGAAGTTAATAATTAAAGTGACCACTAGTTATCAAAACAATACTATCATATATATATATATATATATATATATATATATATATATATATATATATATATATATATATATATATATATATATATATATATATATATATATATATATATATATATATATATATATATATATATTTAAATTAGACAGATTACCATCGTAAAAGAAATTGTACATCCAATTGCGAATACAAAATCTGGGATCCATATCTATTTGCAACATACGATTTTCATTCTTGTTAAAGAGACCTAATCCCACACAAAAATCAAGATCCGAAGCAACAGTTGTAATGGGAACACTTAACAAGTCGCGAGCCATTATTGATAGATCCGGAAATCGACTATTATTACTCTTCCACCATTGTAATACATCCATATCCTCATAACAACGAAAATCCAAATTTGACTCATCTAAGTAAATATCAAGCTCAGACTTTCCGGTTTCAGTAACAAGCTGCCGATGGTGCATTTTCAATTCCTATTATATTTCACAAGTAAAAAGGAAAGCAATGAGGTTTAACAAGTTCAAGATACAAAGTAATTAAATTGTCAATTCAAAAAATATTTACAAACTTACATCAAACATGCCAAGAGGTAAAGACTTCAATTTCTTTTGCAATGGCATGCTAGAAGATTGGTCCAGAATAGTTCTTTGCACGCCAGCAGAAGTACTTTTGCCAGAATACTTGTCAAATAGCATGTACAACTTTTCCTTTACTTGTTCCAACTTCCTTTCACAGGTTGATGCATCTAGTTTTGAGTAACAATAAGCCAATGTCGAAAACTTCACCCTTGGGTCAAGAACAGCTCCCAATGCAAGAACAACATTATACTCATCCCAATATTTCTCAAACTTGCTCATCATCCTTTCAGCCATTCCCTCTATAAGTCCATCATCATCTCTCGAACTATCAACTAGAACACATTGAACTTTCCAAACTTGCAAAAAATACAAGTTTGAAGTAGGACGTGTTGTACCAGTAATCATGTTAGCAGTTTCCCGAAATGGCAACAAGAATGCAAAAATCTTTTCTACTCTTTTCCACTCTTCTCCGCAAGGACATAAGTCATAATCATCAACATACGTGTGAAGACTTTCAAACACATGCCTATATTTAAGAGCACTTTTAAGCATCAAGTAAGTTGAGTTCACACTCATAGACATATTCAGATGCAAGTGATCAGAACTATCAACACCACCAACCTTTTCAACACACTCCTTAAACTTTTCCCTTCTACTTTTAGAATGCTCCACAAATCTAATGCTCTCTCTGATTTTACACACGGCATCACTAACCAATTCTAATCCCTCTTTGACTATCAATTTTAAAACACGTGCAAAACAATGCACACGAAAGAACTCCCCATCACATAACAAACCATTCTGCAAAACAAGTTGAGTTTTCAACTGTTCTTGCAAGATGTCATTCTCAGATGAATCACCTAAAGTGAGAGAAAAAATCTTTTTCTCTATTCCAAAATCACTCAAACAATCAATCATTCTCTTGCACCTCTCATCTCCACTTAGATAAACAGTACAAAAGGTGAGAACCTTATTAACTAACTTCCAATTCGCATCAACAAAATGAGCAGTTAAACAGATACAAGTCTTATTATGAGTGCGAGAATTCCACAAATCTATAGTTAAAGAAATTCTATTAGGAATGGTAGCCAATTCTTGTTTAAGCTTGAGTTTCTCTTTCATGTACAAATCCAAAATATAAGACTTAATAGCATTTATAGGAGGCATAACGATATCTGGATTTAAAGAAGCACTACTACGCAGTAACCGTGAAAAAAAATGACCTAAATCCTCACCGGATTCCAGCATTTCTTGCGATTTCGCTTCGAGGTCCTAGAGAAGATTTCAGCATTGTAAATTATTAGTAGTGGTTTTAAAATCACAGATTGTTATTGCATTGAAAGTTAAAAATCTTTATCAAAGGAAGTTTCAAAACAACACCTTTTCGCGAGACATTGGAGACGGAGAGTCGCCGGAAGGAGACGTCGGCGGGATTAAAGAGATGCTGACGGAGAGTCGCCGGAAGGAGACGTTGACGGGATGAAAGAGATGCTGACGGAGTAACGGTTAACAGAAAGTTGTGAAATGATGAATGAGTTTCGCGGGCTTGGTATTTATATTCCCACAATATGCTATTTCGGTCTAAACCCTAAAACGGGTACCCATCGGGTTAAGCGGGTTAACTTTTTTGAATTAAATAAAACTTTTAAAAGCATTCCTAACTGCATTATATAATTATCAAAGATATCACGAGTTATACCAATGATACAAATTCTTGGAAACAACAATTCTAGATTCCTTTTTCAACAATATTGGGCCTGTTTATTTTTATTGAGATGTTTTTAAAATATTTAAAAATATTAAATTCATTTTTTATAAATTAAAACATTTATTTTGACATCTTATAACTAGTATATAAAAAATTAAAAGATAATAAAAATCATAACTTTTATTTAAATAATGTATCTCTAATATAACTTTTATGAAAAATTATATGAAATAGTTTCATATTTCTTAAAAAAATTATACCAAAATGATGAAATATCTAAAGTTAAATATGTATTTTGTTACTTTAAAAGTTATATCTATGTTTTTGCAATAGTTTTAGTTATTGTTGTTAAACTAACGCATATATACTTCTTAAAATTTTAAATTACTTTTTTGAGATATATTTAGAGTGTTATAAAAAATTTCTCATATAAAAAACATAGAATTGTTCCACAATAAATGAACTAAATATAAATATTTTTATTGTCAAAAGTTCAAAAAACTAAAATAACTTGGAGAGGGTTTAACTACTTAGACTTAGATATGAAAAGTCTTCTACCATAATAAATGTATTTTCAAAGGTTGATAGCATTCAAAATTTAAATTGCTGGTAGAAAATAGTGTGAGGATACCAAGTCAAATAAAAAATTTATCAATCCTTCATTTTATTTGTTCTGTTTTTGTATAAAAATAATAATAATTTACTAAATGAAGTAGATATTTTGGAATCACTCTGGGTCTTTTTGCAGCTTCATTGAACTTTTCCTGTGTATTATCAAAATCGATCAAAAATCTGCTCTTAATATTTTGGTTGTTTTTAACTGATGAAAGAGACGTTTTTTCTTAAAAGCTAAAAGCTATTGGTACTTTCTCAAACTCTGAAGATATAAACCAAAAAGTCCTAAGTTAAGGAGAAATGAAATATTTTAAACTAAAGTGTTAGAAGTTTTTACAGACAAATAATAATTAAAAGTTAATTTTGGAATAATTCTATAACACTCCTGCGCAGTCAGTTGGAGTGAGTGGTCGACAAATGATTATACTAGTCTGAAAATTATCAAAAAGTATTCTAGAAAGACATTTGGTGAAAATATCAACAATATGGTATCAGATAAGGACATGAGTCTGACCCCATACAATCTTTTTCTGAATAAAGTGAATGTCCAATCTCAATGTGCTTAGTACATTGATGCTGAATAGGATTGTTTGATAGATAGATAGCAGTAACATTGTCACCGTACATCAAAGTAGTTTGGAAAAGGGGAAAGTGAAGCTTCAGGAGAAGGTTGCAAAGCCAACATAATTCTGAAACCACATTAGCAATGCTCCAATACTCAACTTCTACAATGGAACGAGAAAGCGTTGCTTGTCTCTTGGAAGAATATGACAGAGTTGGAATTACGGAGGAATAACAAGCACTAAACCTATAATGAAAACACATAATTGCAAACGCAAAATCTGTAAGATAAGTTCAGGAATCTATCGGATAAAGAAAATACTAAATTTTATTATAATCAAAAATAACTTTGATAACCACATATTAAAGTGTTTAAATACAAAAAAAAAATCCTAATGAAACTTTTTAATCCAAAACAGAAATAAAATAGAAAAAAACACCCTAATAGACTTTTAATCTAAAAAAAATTGCAGATAATATTAAAATGTTGTTTTTGTCCTCATTACCAACCCTTATAATAGTAATCATATTCATCTTATTTATTTTGTAAATCCTTTGGTGAAAGTATTTGGTGTATAAATCTCTTTCTAGGCTACTCACGTATACAAAAAGGATATTGTTGTTTTTGTTCCCAACTTCAACAATACATTGTTTCATCTTATGTCACATTTTTTGAAACTTCTCCATTCTTTTTTACCTTTGTGCCACCAGATGAGAATTGCACATCAAATATTCAAGATATCCCTTCTGTCATCCTCACACCCATTGTAGGTCCTACACTTCTATTGTAGGTCTACCAGTGATAGACGATATGTTTATCGGAGGTAAGAGATGTTATTGATCCACCAACACTATCTTCTGTTCCAACTATTCCTCCATTTATGTCACATGAACTTGAACTTCCAATAACATTATAAAAAGGTATTATATCTCATCATCCTATTCTTCATTTTATTTGTTATTCGTATCAAAACATTTGATTTAAAGAAAACATAAGTAGTATCAAAAAAATTCATAAAAAAACATAATACTACTAGTTATATAAATATAAAATAATATAATAATAGTAATAATACATAAGTAAACAAAAAATACCTTATTTAAAATTTAATAAATATACACTAACATTCAATAGAGTCCATATGTTATCATGTTAAACCACTAATTTTAAAAATAATAATACATTATTATGTTATTATTTTTTTAATAATGTTAACGTAGGATATAAGATTAATAGAATAATGATTAGTATTTATATATTTAAAAAAGAAAAACTAAAATGTACAACTTTAAATACAATTTTTTTTAATCTTATTACACTAATAAATACTGTTAAGTTACATCATATAATATTTTGATATTTTATAGATTAAATTAAAGTTTTAATTCCTCAATTTTATTTGATTCACAAAAAATTGATGAGATATATTTTTATCTATAAAATTTTATAATAAGTTTATATATATATATATATATATTTCTTCAAAGAAGTGGATTGTTTATTTTCAATGGAGAATTTTGTTAAGCACGAGTGACTATGTCTTCCAACTTTGTGAAATATCATAAACATGAATTGCAATGCGTTTGTATGCGGATGTATTCAACTATTCAAGTGTGCTCAAATTTTGAGATTGGTTAAAAGAAAAAATAAATAATGTGCTGTAAATTTTTTATACTATTAATTAATGATGATAATTTTTTCTGCTAAGTCAAACTGAAATTTTTTAATTAAATATATAATATAAAGGAATGATATATTTTTATTAGATAATAATGTAAAAAAATTTATATATTTGATTAAAATGCATAAATATATGTAGACACTTTCATCTTTAAATTATCTTTTGAAATAATATTCTAACTAATGTAATGGAAAATTAGACGAAGGATCCACCCTAAATGTAAAAGTAAGTATTTTTTGAATTCGTCGTCTACCAATTTTTATTATGACATTCTTGTCATGGACATTTTTGTAATTGTAAATTAAAATATCCAGCTTCTGCCAAAAGTTTAAGAAAATTGCAAACTAATAATATTTCTAATTGTTATGGTTGCAAACAAATAATATTTTTAATTGTGGTATCAAAATATGTATCAAAAAAAGATGCATATAGTATGAATATAATAAAGAGAGGAAATAAGAAAAAAAAAAACTTAAATATGAAAACACTTTAATCAAATACTCAAGAAAAATACACTATTATGTAAGAGATGAGGTACATTCAAGAAAAATCACCGTATATTTCGTCAAATTTAAAAACTAATTGACTGATATGTTTACAAATTTTTTTAGAGGTTCTCGAGTGAATTACATTTGTAATAAATTTGATTCATATGATATATATAGTTTGAGGAAAATGTTTAAATTATTTATATATATAAAATCTCACATCAACTATATCATATAATTAATTGTAAATTTTTCTATATATAATACCAGTCTCCGCTTAGCCTTTTAAACCCATGATTTATTTATATATTTTTCAATTTTTTATACATCAATAATCAGTAACTATGAAATTGAAGCAACTATGAAATTGAACTATATTCTATAAGCATGACAAGATAACTTTAAACATCAAACTAACATGCAATAGCTGCTGAAACTACAAGCAACAGCAGAAGCCCCATTTTGCTGGTAATTAAATTAACCTGTATTTATCAAAACAATACAAAAATACATATATATTTCCATTTAAATTACATGATTTCACATCGCTAACAAAATGGTACAACCAACTGCAAGTACAAATTCTAGTTTCCACATTCATCGGCAACACTTAACAAGTCACAGGCCAATATTGATAGATCTGGAAATCGATTATTATTACTCTTCCACCATTGTAATACATCTATATCTTCATAACAATGAAAATCCAAATCTAACACATCTAAGTAAACATCAAGTTGAGACTTTCCAATTTCATCAACAAGTTTGTGGTTACATTCGTCAATGGATAGATGATAAGTTTTAAATCATGTGAGCTCAATGACTCATGCTCGTTCTCTTTGAAAAAAATTTGAGGAGTTGTATGCAAGAAAGACAGGGAATAATAAGTTATTATTGTTCAAGCAATTTATGTCATTAAAATATAATGATGGTTCACCAATGACGGATCACTTGAAAATTTTTTAAGGGATTCTAAATCAATTGTCGGCAATAAATCTTTCTTTTGATGACAAAATTCAAGGTTTATGGCTTCTTGGTACTTTTCCTAATTCTTGGAAGACTTTTAGGACATCCTTGTCTAACTCTGCTCTGAATTGTATCATCTCGATATATTTGGCTAAAAGTAGTGTGTTGAATAAGAAGTTGAGGCGTAAGTCACAAGGTTCTTCTTCACATTCAGAAGCATTGGTTAGA